AAAGAGATAAAAATAAAAATAGAAAACCATATAACCTTTTTATTTGGCGTCATTTTAATTGTATTGACGAAAACTTCAAATGATATATTTTGTTATAAAAAATAATTATTCTATTATAATTTAATAAATTACATAAATTGTTTTCTTGGGGGTAAATTGATCATTTTAACCAGTTCTGTCCAGTCCTGTCATGTCTTACCAAACGCTGAACAATTGTCCTGTCATGTTATGTCCCGTCTTGTCCTGTCTGCGTACCAAACGTACCCTTTAAGTTAAAAATGTTTCTTTAGATTTATTTTTAAATGTTTTTCTAACTTTCTAAATGTATTTGATTGAAAACTAATTGTAAAATTATCTATTTTTATTCATCCTTGAATTTGAACCTGAGACCTCTGGATATCTTTGACTTGTGGAGCCAAACTCAAACTAATCAGGCACCATCCTTGTGGTTGAGTTTAGAAAATTGTTAACGAGTTCGAGTTTATTGAGTTTAGTTTTTAACTACTCGCGAATTTTTGAGTCAAGATCGTGCTTGAGAAATGACAATCAAGTTCGAGTTGAGTATACCAATACTTGAAACTCGATTTGTATCATTTACACCTAAGAATTCACCCCCCTTTTTTTTCTCCCGCAAACACCCCCTCCTGGTTTTGGTCTAGCTTCTGAGCATGCCGATTCAAGTTAGAATATTCTCTCTCTCTCTTCTTGAACCCCATTGTCGTCCCTACTTAATATTGGTCTTGCCATCATGGTTTTCAAAGACCATAAAGTTGATATGTGGAAGATGTAAGATGTAGATGACGTGGTAACCATACTTAGCTAGTTGTGATTAAAATAGAATTCTTGGGGGGCGATTGGGCTATTTTGCTATTTTAAGAGGTTCATATTGAAAATTGTCTCATATAAAAGCATTCCATCTTCTAAAGTGTTCCAAATAAGTGATTTGTGTAAAGTGTTTGTATGTATGTGTTTTAGTCTAGAGGACGTACGGAGATTTTGAGCTTAAGAATAGATTTCATTGGTTGAATTCAGTTTTTTAGGTAAGAACTCTTTCTTCTATCCTCTTTCTTCAACCTAAGTTGTGTGGCTAGTCGCCTAAGTCGTTGGTGATGTGAGTTTTTGGTTTTTCTTTCGTGTCGTTTGGGGTCTTTTGGGGCATTGTGTACGTGACTTAGGAACTGTTTAGAGATAAGGTTGAGTCTATATTTGTAGATTGTGATCCATGCCCTTATCTAGCTTCGAATGTTTGGTATTGAGATTTGTAATCGAATAAGAGTTTATAGCATCATATATGGTGATCAATTTGACTTTTCTTATACTCTTTTTTAAACTGAAATGCATTCTATAAAATGGTTTATATATTAATGTTATACTTCATTCGTATGTTTTAAATTTACAGTTAACTGTGATATGATAATTGATATATGTTGTATGATATTAATAGATGTGGTTTGGTGACTGTTACTTGGGTAAAGGGACTTACACAATAGAAGCACGTGTAAGCGTGAGGCCGTAATGGTCCACATAGGGGGGGATAACTTTAGCGCACAAATGTGTTTCGTGTGGTTCCATTGCCGATATTGATTGTGATCCTATCAGAGCATGTATCTTTATAAAAGCAACTATTGTGGATAGTTTCCTCGGGAGGGATATAGTCTTGCGAGCACACATCTTGATTATTTGATTAATGGTTTTACATAAAAGTGATTTTTACTGGATTAGGTTATTGACAGGGATCCTCACCAGATCATATGGTCTAATCCTTATTTTGTTTATAAAAAATATGTATTTTAGGACAGATTCGCTTCGAGGATACGGGAAAGGGTAAGATATGAGGACTACTTTAAGTGGTATCTCTTGGTTATGAAGTTAGATAAGTGGGAACAAATGTTAATTTTGATCTTATTCCCTCTGTATTTTCTTTTGTATAGGAAACATGTTAGTAATTTTTGTGTAGCTTAGTTGAGATATTGTATAGTTTTGTTAGGTGTGAACCAAATCTGTATCCTGAATTAGGTTTGTTTTTGAATAAAATCTCGTTATATGTTATTTGAAATTGCAGGTTGTTACAAATGATGTGAATCCTTAAAGCTCAATTCAAAATTGAACTAATCGATTTAGTGATTCAACTCTAAACATATAGATCTAGAGTTTTAAATCAACACTTTAGGAGGTTTATCCTCTGATTTTTTTTCTTTTACAGATTACACAGATTCAGGGTTTTGATTTGATTTATGGTATGATGAAAGTTTTGTATCACAAATTTCCAAATTTGTTATTTTATGCTCTATGTTATTGATGTCTGTTTGGATCTTATTGCTAGATTTAGAGATGTTAATGTTCTTGATGACGATGCACATGACTTCATATGTTATTGATAAAAATGGATTTTTTTAATAGGAAATAGAAAGATGAGTTTCTCGATTTGGTGTCTTTATGGCTTTCTGAATTTGTGTTGATGGTTGGGGTGGTGGAAAGTGGTCATCACCAGAGAATGGGAGGAGAAAGGTTTTACCAGATATGGAAGGTGGCAACAGGATCATCGGGAAGGATAAGGGGGATCACTAAAAAAACCAAATATTTTTCTCATTACAGCTCAATATGACCTATTATAACCCAATATGCCACTATATGACCCAATAGAATCCTATACACTAACATGACACAACTGTTATAACCCAATACGTTACTATATGGCCCATTACAACCAACATAATTGAATACAGTACATTACGACCTAATAAGGCTCATTAAAACCCAATAGGTGACCCAGTACGAACCGTAATCAAATGTAACCTTATCACTATATGACCCGTTACAATCAAATACAATCCATTCTTAGGAGTGAATTAGGTTGAAATTGGAAAATGTGAGGAGAGAGAGATTAGCATATACATGAACTTACGAGAGACGGGCGTGGCAAAAAATAAGGTAACACAAATTAAAGCAGCTAGATGAGCAGGGAGGAGGAGACGGGGATGACACAATCATGAAGGTGAGAGAGAGTCTTTGTGGAGAGAGTATGGCAAGTTTTAGCTTAATGTAATAAGCTTATGGGATGCGGTTGAGCAATTATGCAATCATCTTTATGAATGAATATGCCACAACAAACATTGATGCATGATTAACAGATTAAGCCATACATGACATTATAAGTTCGATAATCAAAAAACAAACAACCCTTAGTTGGCCTCATCATTTACAAGGATTTTTTAAAAATCATTTTGAGTTTTAAATTCAGAAAAGAATAACCAAAAGGAAAAAAAAGATGGACCGGGGGCTAAAGGTGCAAAATCTTGAACATTAGGATACACTGCAATAAAATGGGACATGTAGAACGCTAAAGAAATTTAAGTGTCTTAATAAATCATTTTGTACAACTTAAGTTTATATCACGTTTTGGATGGTTTAATAAGTTATTTAGGACATTTTAGAAATAAAATGCTCAATTAATTTTTTTTATTACACTTTTTGAGAATAATTTTTATGTTCTTATTTTATTTTAGTTAAATTGTGTGAAATCATGGATTCCTATCAACAATATACTACAATAGGTAGGAAATTATAATAACTTGATTTGAATAGAAAAGTTCTATCTTTATTAGACAGAATACAAAGGCTATAAATAGCTATTTTCAACATACATACAGGGGCGGATGTAAAGAGAAGCCATTGGGGTCCTGGGCCCCCAACAAATTTTTTTTTACAAAGCCCAATATTTTTTTTTAAGTTGTAATTTTTAATTTTCTCATTTGGGCCCCCAACATGATTTTGTAAGAGGCCCCTCACTGCCTCACACTCACAGTCACAGATGACAGATTTGGTCCTTCTGGGAAGAGACGAAAAGGAAGCAGTAAGTAAAGTAGCATATAGCACCGATTAGTAGCATATAGCACCGATTAGTCGATTACCGAAGCAGGGAACAGGGAACTAGGGAAGAACCGAAGAAGACACAGAAGTGGCGAAGTGCTGTGCTGTTCATCGCTGTGAGCCTGTGACGCTGACACGCTGTGGCTGCCTGGCTCGCTGCGACTGCGAGTCTGCGAAGACGCGAAGTGCGACCAGATTGCAACCAGTCCCGACGCCGACCAGCAGGCTGCATGTGCGCAGCGCGACTTAGGTTTTTGATTCGGCCTTCGGTTCGGGTAAAAATTCTATTTTGTAGGAAAATAGAAATGTTAGACAAATGGAAATGTTAGGTTAATTTTGCAATTTTGTGTTGAAAAGCAGTATGCATGACAATTAAAGATCCAAGTGTTATTTGTGAATTATATGATCAGGCAGATGGAATAATTCCTAGTTGATAGGTCTCCTTGGGTGCTCATCTTAAGAAGAGTACTAAAAGATTAAAACATAAGCYTTAGAAGTYACTYTCCACCACTTCATTGCATTTCAGTAAGCAGGATAGTCAGTACCACACATGAAAAGGTAAATATACAAGTCATATTCACTCAACAAATACAAATTGTAGGGTCAATGTCTGGCTTACTTCAACCRCATCAGTTATCTTTATTTGGTTAACCGAACAGTTTAAGCTGAAAATGAAAACCCGAAACCTTTTTTGGTTCGGACGAATTATTCGGTTTCAAAAAAATTTCGACCCTCCTAAGCGTGCCCCCAACCATAATAGTTTCTAGATCCGCCACTGCATACATACAATGGTTAGGAGAGATCTACGACTAATTCTATGATAAATAATATCAATCACAATAACTATTTAAATAAAGCTTAAAGGTGAAAAAGAAATACAATTAATACACGGTCAATGGGTAGTTTCCTTAATAGAAATTTCATGAACTTCACATTGAAGATGCATGTTTTAGAAGTATAATATTGATTGTTAATTATTAATTAATGCAAATTAATCTATATTAGTTCAAGAGACTTGTTAGATCCTTATAGAAGAAAAAGTGTGAAGGTTTATTCAACATGCTGATAATTTTCACGACAAAACTCTCTATTGAGTCTTCCTTATTCATTTGCTCTTAGTACTAAAGCTCCTAAAATGCTTCGTTTTGTAGAATCAGATCCTGAAAACAACCACAAGAAATCGCAATCAGTAGAAAGTCATATGAAAACGATAAGCACGAAAAAGAAGAGAAGAGTTTGAAGTATAGGTACTGTTCGTATTCGACGTTAACTCTTCCCAATTCAACACGAGCAATCTTTGCAAAGGCCTCTTCCGAAAGTTCAAGTTGGTTCACTGCACACATGTTGCAACGGTCTATAACCATGACATCGACACTATTTCCCGTGCATGCATTCCGAATGGCTTTGTTGGTTCCACTGATACAATGAACTCGGTACCTTCTCCCGCACGCAGATCCATTGGCAAACAAGCCACTATGCGCTTTTGAAATCATAACACCTTTGTCTTGTGAACCAAAACAGGTTGATGCTACGGGCATGAATTGAAAAAAGCTCAAACCATGAATTTAAGCTCTATGATAGTGAAAGCTTGAAAAACAAAAGAATCAATACGTACGAGCATAAGGCGGATTGAATATGGTTGCTTGGCCGGAAATGGCATCGGCAACTGAAATTAGACATACGACCATGCAGATCAAGATGATAGCCTTGGTCACCAAACCCATCTTTGTCTACTTAGTGAAACCCTACAGATCGATATAGTGAGATTTTTACTTGTTTGGGGACGAGAAGCAGATAAGGGCATTCCTTTTATAGATGGAAAGACCTAGCTTCGAGGATAATATGATGTTTATTTTTGTGTAATCATGGGTATCTAAGTCAACCTGCGCATACCTCGACTAATCCGATAAGGTCTTGAAAATAACAGTAAGAAGAATCCAAAAACCGACGACCCATTGGAAAAGCCCAACGCCTCGTCTTTATTCGGCCCTGTTGTTTAGTTCTTCATGTTTTCAACAAAATACACAACATTTATCAAGTGAAAGAGGTGGATGGGTTCCAAAAATAGGCTGGTGATGTGAGTCCTCGAAAGCTGCTACTTTTAGAAAGATGACGGGGTTCTTCTAAAAATAGGTTCGTCTGAGTTCTTGATGATTGCTACTTATAGAAGGAAACTATGGTCTTACCATTTTGATGTTAACATTCGAAAATGACATTTGCACATGCTTTTCAATGCATTCTGTATGAACGGGCTTAAATTATTTGAGAATAATAGTTTTTATACAAATTATGTTGGGTGATATTCGTGTATCTAAAACCAAACACTAAGATCCCAATTATCAAATAACTTAGTGCAAAGAACAACATTAAGAACAAATTAACCAATCACATTACAACGAAGACTTGATAACGAAAACAATAAATACCTCAAGGATTTAACGTAGTTTAACTATCGATTTAGTAATGTAAATCCAGCAAGAAGAGATGGTGACTCTAAATTAATGTCAAAAAAAAAAAAAAAAAGGTTACAAGGAAATTCTTATCATACAGGATCAGATCAAAAACTTGCACATTGGCTCAAAATATCCTTAGAATTTGAATTATTGAGATCAAATTAATGCAATAAAATATATATCTTTTTTCCTAAAGTTAATTAGTCTTTGCAAAAACATAAAATTTTAATATGTTAAAAAAGTTGGTTAACCTCAAGGGCATTTTGGTCTTTTTGAATTTCTTTTTAATAAATATATTATTATATATACACTCAACAACCCCTGAATCTAACCCCATCCCTCGAGAAGCAAGCATTGATTCCGGCCTCCAACCCTAGAGAACCCGGTTTCTCCGGCAATTTCCTTCACCGCCAGCCACCGATCTCTCCCTTGTTTCCTCTCTCCTCTATTTCTCCGCATTCGAGCCCCTCACCCCTCTCTCCCCTTGCTATATATAATATATAGCAAAGTATGTTTTAGTTTTGTTGTGGCTCAAGGTTATGGTTGTTTGATTATTGCTGAATGGTTATAATATAGTACAAAATGATATATAATTGTTTAGAATGAAATTAGGGTGTTGAATGGTTAAGGGAGACCCCATATACAAAATCATTCAGAGAGTTTTAGAACCATTAAAAAACAGACTAATTTTTTTGCCAAAAAAGATTCACCTATTAGCGATTTAGAGGCCGCCTCTTAATGGAACTATTAAAAGGTAAACAAACATCCCCTAAGAATTTAATTTACTCTAAATTTTGTCAAACTAGGGATGAAACTTGATAGTTAGTGACAACCATAAAGACTAACTTTAAAGTTTGTCAAACTAAACGTTTAAATTCCATTGTCTATTAAATATAACATCACTATAGGGCACATATTATTAAAGATGACGCTACAAAACTAGGCCCTATCAGCGATGGATAAATCCATCGATAATTCGTCGCAAATGCTCAATTCCGACACAATAGTTCATCGGCCAAATAGTGGTGGGTGATGCCTTCAGCGATGGATTAGCAATGTCTAGGATCAGCGAAGAATTAGTGACGGATTGTGCCATCGACAGATTAGCACGGATTGTATCAACGACGAATTAGCAATGACCACCATTAGCGACGAATTAGAGACGGCAAATCAGCAACATATTGCTTTTACCGACGGATTTCCAACAGACATGGATTTTCAAGTATTAGTTTCACCGATGGATAGTTCGTCAGTAAACCGTCGCCAAAAATAGTTTTTTCTTAAATAATCAGTTTACTCCATATTTTTCTATACAGATACATATATTTCTATATAAATACAAATTAAATAAACATAATCATTTTTTTACATTTATATTCAATCAAAAAATAGTGTACATCTCCAAAACTCATATCTCCAAAGCTTTGTAGTCGTAACTCCAAAACAGAAGGCTTGTCTCTCAAAGTTCCATAAATGGAAGAAGCTGCAAAACAGTGTGCAATGTGAGAATGAGTTATTACCATAGTACTTGGTTTTCATTGCAATCAAATATTCAGCGCCAACGGTATTATTACCCTTCAAACTGTCGTTCTTACAACAACTTAGAAAGAACACCCTATCAAAAATCACGACCTTCGATTCTAGACAAAAGACACCCATGTACAACGTAATTACGGAGCCAACTTGCTTCGGCAACGGTGTTGGCGACACCTCGGTATTCGGCTTCAGCACTAGATCGGGAAATGGTGGGTTGCCGTTTGGAGGACCATGAGACAAGGTTGTCTCCCAAAAAAATACAGTACCCGGATGTTGAGCGTCTGGAATCCGGACATCCGCCCCAGTCGGCGTCAGAATACGCTGTGAGGGACTGAGCGCGGGAGACATGTATGCGCAAACCATGATYAAGRGTGCCTTGGATATAACGAAGGATGCGCTTCATGAATGCAAAGTGTGGTTCGCGAGGAGCATGCATAAATAGACAGATCTGCTGTACTGCATATGCTATATCAGGGCGAGTAAAAGTAAGATATTGTAGTTCACCCGCGAGGCTCCTGTACTGGGTGCCGTCGGCTAGAAGCGCACCATCGGAGGCACTGAGCTTGGATGACGTATCAACCGGTGTAACGCATGGTTTGCATGATGACATGGCAGCCCTGTGGAGAATATCGCGAGCATACTGGGTCTGAGATAAAATCAATCCGGAGCTGTCTCGGGTAACCGTGATCCCCAAGAAGTGATGTAAAGGCCCGAGGTCGGACATAGCAAACTCGCCGGAGAGAAGAGTAATAATATGCTGTAATAAAGAGCTGTCAGAGGCAGTTAGGATGATGTCATCCACATATAAAAGTAAGTATGCCATGCGCCCCCCTTGGCGGTAAATAAACAGTGACGTATCACAGATGCTGTTACGAAATCCCCGGGATAGAAGAAACGTAGAAAATCTGGTATACCATGCCCGGGGGGCTTGTTTCAACCCGTAAAGAGACTTCTTAAGTCTGCAGACATGAGAGGGGGCATTCGCGTTAACGAATCCCGGTGGTTGATGCATGTAAACCGTTTCTTCAAGATGCCCATGAAGAAAAGCATTTTTAACGTCTAACTGATGTATCGGCCACTGTTTAGAGACGGCCAAGCTCAACACTGTTTGTATAGTGGCCGGTTTAACCACCGGGCTGAACGTGTCATGACAATTGATGCCCACCGTCTGTGATTTACCATTAACAACCAGACGGGCTTTGTACCGTTCCAGAGTGCCATCGGACTTGAACTTGTGTCGGAATAGCCACATACATCTAATCACCGGGTTATCCGATGGCCTGGGAACGAGATCCCACGTAWGATTTTCCTGCAAAGCACTAAATTCACTGTTTATGGCACGTAGCCAATTCGGATCCGATAAAGCTTTAAGGTAGGATGTGGGTACGGGTGAGATGTTATTTGAGGTGTGGGTGGTTGATAAGGAATATTTGGGGTTGGGTTTGAACACACCCTGTTTYGCACGGGTGGTCATGGAATGAGTGTTAAGGGGCGGTGGAGGGTGGGTGACTGAGGTAGCTGCTGGAACAGTAGGTTGGGGGGTGATGAGGGTTCTAGTGGGCTGGCCGGATGCAAGGGGGAGTTGGGCCGTACGGACTGGGCAGGGGTAGATGTGGGCAGCGGTGAAGTGGGCTGATGTGGGCCGGAGGGTTGGGCCAAAGGAGGATCGGGTTTGCTGGTTTGTAGAATTGGCACAGTAGGGTACAGTTGGGGTGATGGGAGAGGGGATGGGTCCTCGTCAAGAAAAGTATAGGTAGTAGGAGTGGACRGGTKGTTGAACGGAAAAGTGTRTTCGTCGAAAATTACGTGAMGAGATAGGTGGACACGTCCCATGGTGGGATCGAGACAACGATAACCACGACAACCGGGTGGATAGCCAAGAAAAATGCATCGAATAGAACGGGGGTGAAGTTTGTGGGGTTGAGAGGCGGAAGTGTTTGGGTAACACGCACATCCAAAAACACGTAGATGGTCGTATGTTGGATGACGGTGAAAGAGGATGTAGGCGGGAGTGGTATATCTCAATCGTTTGGATGGGAGGATGTTGTGTAAGTATGTGGCCGTATGAAGGGCTTCCACCCAAAAGGTAGGTGGTATGTGGGCGTGAATTAGGAGAGAGCGGATGATGTCGTTCATATTAGAATGTATTTATAGTATAGATTGTATAGATATTCTAGATTATTCGTTTCCTTGTTTATCTCTTGCCTAATATTGAGGCATTGTAACTATATATATATTGTATGCTTGATTCATGGATTGACACAGAGAAAATTGTGGGTCTTTGGAAACTTTTATGGTATCAGAGCCTATTACCTTTTACCCTAATATTGCCGTCACAACCCTCTTCCTCGGATCTCTGCAAATTTTATTTTTTACTTCCTTTTTTCTTGCTCACGATCAAGATGACCGACACCGGTAACGTCATAGAAAGCAGCACCAAACTCAAGCCCCTCCATCCGACATACAACGTTACGAACATCAACAACAAAGTTAGAACGCTAGATGGCACAAAGATCACATACTCAACTTGGGTTAAGTTGTTTCGGTTACATGCTACGGCATACAAGGCTATGGATCACATCACCAATGTACCTCCACCGGAAAAGGACGCTCCTGAATATGCGGAATGGAAGGAGGTTGATTCTCTTGTCCTACAGTGGATCTATAATACTGTCTCCGATGAGATCGTGGTTCGCCTCATCGAGAACGACACCACAGCTAGGGCAACCTGGATCAAGTTACGGAACATGTTCCTTAGCAA